ACAAATGTTTCGGATAGTTATTTAATCGCTACTACATATTCACAACAATCCGCATTTTTACACCCACAGCAACCAACACAACATTTAAAATGACGATGGTTACCAATGATTTCCTGTAAGTATAGAAGGATGAAATTTTCGGTCAATCAGAAATTAACCGGAATCTGAAAAAATTTAAAAATCTTTTAAAAGATTAAAAGGTTATCTTGTTTTTACTTAATGATATTTGATAAAGATTAAAAATAGAGTTCGAGACGAAGAGGCTTTCATGACAGGAACAGAGTTTCTGAGCACAGATATTTGAAAAAACAGTCGCCAAAGGATGGCGAAATATGTTTCTTAAATGAGTCGCCCGCAAGGCTTTTATGCTTTCGACATAGTTCGATGAAATATTGTGTTGTTTATGGGATTTTTTAACCAAAAAAAGAATGCAATTTCATAACTGAGATATCACTTTTTCTTCATCTGTGCAATTCGATAATTATCTGCATTAATATAGGCTGACAGCGCTACTATTTAGGAAGAATCTTGCACAACTTGTTTGGCTGTTCCGAAAGGTGTATGGGATGTGGTCACAATAGTACTAAGTAGTAGCGCTGTCGGCCTATATTAATACAGATGTTTTCTTCTGCTGTTGTAGTTTGGTCAAAGTAAGATTGTTAATCTTGTTCGAATTATTTGCTTTTATGATTCTATCTTACAAAGGTGCATTTTTCATTATTATTTTCTATGCAGGTGTCTGTAACTCACCATCCATTCTTATCTTTTCTTCAAAGTTACATTTTGTGTTGTAAAATTAATGTGACATAAGCATGTGTAAAGAAGTATGCACGTCTAACCTTCTAAAATTAGTCCGAGTTTCTGTTCTGGATAATTAATCTAAAAGATATTCTAGGTTAGTGTTCAGTGTAGATTCGGAAATATGTCATCGACACTTGAGTCGTTAGCCAGTGAAGTATTAATTGAGTTATTCGAGTATTTTGATGTTTACACCCTATTTTATGCATTCTTTAATCTGAATGGTCATTTCAATACCCTTCTCAGTGATAGAAATGTCAAGCTACATGCCGATTTTACCATTTTCTTCACTCACCCCTGGGGGGTACGTGACAAAAAGCTTGATCAGTTTTATCAATTTAATGTAGATTCGCAACAAGTTGTCTCAGTCAAGTTCAATAACTACACTCATTTGACAAAATTTCCCCTTTATCAATGTAGAAATATTCGGTCACTCGTAATGCGTATCTGCAGCAATCAGCTGGTGGACCTTGTCTTGCAACTAGAACATTTAAAATTGCTCGAATTTCTCAAAATTCAGTTATTTCACGACGGTCAGTTTGACAGTGATCAGGCCCCCTACTCATTTGTTTTGAACGCGGTTCCATGGCTGAAAACGGCTATAGTTGAAGTAACGTTTGCTACAGTACACAAGAAGAGATCACGTGAGTATTTGAGAGAAGTCTACGTGTGTCAAGTTTTTTCACAACTCTTCCTTTTTAGAACCTATCTGTGTGTTGTCAGATGTTGAAAAATTGTCCTTGACAGCCTACTATTTGGATATTCGCAGTTGTCTTTCACTGCTTCAACGTATTCCAAAACTAAAATATTTGAAAGTTTGTTTAGCAAAACACTCGTCGCCGTCCAACAATACCGTCTCATCACCAATTCTCAGCTTGACATTTCTGGTATTGAGACTCAGTTATTTAACATTAGATGATTTAACAACATTTTTGAAATCTTTTCCAAATGTACGTCGGTTGAATCTAATTGGTGATCATGTTAATGATTTGTGCTGGTGCAATGATGAAAAATGGACACAATTTTTTCAACTTTTTTCAAATTTAAGACGGTTTAGTGCTGGCATTTTTGTCTTTCACGATACTTCATCATATTTGCTGTTGAATGATACAAATTTAAAATTTAAGTTAAACAAATATTTGGCGCAACGTAATTTTAGAATGGAAAAATACTCGGTTCAAGGAAGCTGGATTAAAGCTAATTACAAAGAGACTCAATAGAATATCATGAGTGTTTTTGTACTTATAAGGTTGAAACTAAAGTGGATCGTCGCTTTCTTTAATAGAAGAAACAGAATTAAAAAACTTAATTATATGATCATAAGACACCAGTGACAAACTATAAACTTATGCCAACATCTCAGTGATTTCGCCATTACAGTGATAACTGCCATTACTCCTCCTAAGCTATTAAGACCATTGTATTTAAAAGGGCCCCTCCCCCCCCCCTCCTTAGAAATGATGATTTTGTAACAAAAAAATTAATTTGGAGGCAAGCATATGGAAAGATAGCATCGAGTGCCTACTTTCAGAATCTGTATCGCTTTCCAGCCTAGAACTGGTTTTTCATAGTTTTCGACTTTTTCTAAACACGTGGATTTGCAGAGCAGACTTTTCTGATCAAAATAAGACGTTGCACAACTCTGTGTGATCTTGCGTTCAAAAATTACAAGCATTTTCCTACATGTCCTAAAATAGAGCAACCAATGCACAGCGTTTTCTCTCAAAGCCCGATTTTTGTTCAAACAACCTCAGTGTGGGACATTTTTTTAAAATATACTTCAAGCTAGAGATCTCCGATTGGTTTATTTTAAACCAGACACCTAATTGCGTGGGCTGATGGAAGTCGATTTTTAAATTAAGCCTTAGTTTACTAGAAAATCAAGGAGCTCCGAAAAACCCGAAAGGCGTTTTTGGGTTTTTGAGGATTCTGGACCTCTAGAAAACGAACGAAGACCTAAATCAAAAATCTGATCCCATCAGCCCACGCAGTTAGGTGTCTGGTTTAAAATAAAACCAATCCGAGATCTCTTGCTTGAAATATACTTAAAAAAAGGTGTTCCACAGTGGAGGGCGGTTTTTTGACCTTGGACTCGCGCAAACCCCGGAACGGTAAGAGATAGCGAGGAAAAAAAACTTCATAACCACATTTTGCTATGACAAATATTTGCTGAAAGCGTCATCAAAATCGGATGTAAGACAAAAAAGTTTTTTTCTAAGGAGCACCCTCAATTGATGCTATCCACCTTCACTAGAGTGAATGACAGCTTTCATATTTATCGTTTTTATTTTTTCGCATTTATACTTTCTTGTGTTTCTAGCACTCTGCGCCATTTTTGCCCTGACGTTGCGATCGCGTTTTTAATATTCTATAGTGGATTTTGTAGAGAATGAAATTTTGCAAGATACACTATCTACTGATCGAGCATCTCATTACTCTAATTTTTAAATGTCATTTTACTAGAAAATTTTGATTTTTATAAAGTCGATAATTTTGATTTTTTTTCTATTCAAATTTTAATTCTAACTAAGTTAACAAAAATCATTACATTTTCTAGAATTTGTTTGCACTTTGAACTGATGTACAATTCAATATATTTTGATAAGATTTAGCATCAACTGGAAAAGACTAAGAAAATGTGCGATTTTTTGACAAAATTTGTTTGTACTACTAAAAACTGTTTTAGCACGGAGACAAACTTTTCAAAGATTAATCGCTTGGATTTATAGGTAAGTTTGCATAGAAAATCCGAAAATCGCATTTAAAACAAAATCTGTTTTTTCGATCATGTTAGATACTTTTTCGACGTGCTGACGAAATTTCTCTTAACAGTAAATGATTATTTGCTATTGCTCTAATATAATCAAACCAAGAGGGTTTTGCCCTATTTTAAAGAGCACACTTGGGTTATCTGCCTACAATAAATAATCAACAGATTCTTATTTGAGGTATCCGGATGAATGACTTGGATTTGTCAAAGGTTGCATTGTTGAATCAATGTTTAGGACATCAATTTCATAATAAAAAAAATTCAAAAGTATCCACAGTTCAGCAAAAGAGATTGTTTGTGTATAGCGAAAAAAAAATGAGCATTGAAATTCGTTTTGATGAGCAAAAAGAAAGAAATTTTAGTTAAGTGGAAGAGATTTTGTTATTGTCATCTAAAAAACTTCAAATATTAAAATATCGTTCGGTCGAAGAGTCTGGATAATTTTTGATTTTTAGGGTAATCATGAAATAAAATTTTGTTCAGCTATAATAGTAGTTTTTGGCTAGCCAGTCTTTCCTTTGTTAATTGGTTTTTCGGTTTTGTCAATAGCGACAACAGTATCGACCGAGTATTTTTTTGATAAGCGAGTGCACATTTATAATTTTCCAAAGCTAAATCGTATTTTACCATGAATTCCTTCATATAAGTCAGCAATTAAATAATAAATATGAGCTATGTAGTTCAAATTTTAAATGTGGCAGTTTATTCAATTCTATTTCTAAATGTTTTTTTCTAAATTCAACCATTTGCTCATCATTCATCTTTGCCGCGTAACTAAATATTCAATTAAAAATTCAATATCTTGCATAATCAGATGACGTTAGAGCCAATAATCCAAATAAGTAATATGTTAAAGAAGCAGCCATAATTGACAAAAACCAACTGTTTATTCTTTATTAAATAGTGCACTCAACGTTTCGATCTCAGCAATAAAGCTGGTTGCGCCCGAACCAAGTTGAAGTTCTTCATAGCCCATGAAGGCCTACATTTTAAAAATAGTCCCATTCAAAAAGATTTTTAGCACCTCAGGAGGTTCTCTCGTAAAGGCTTCTTCATAACTATTTAACGAATCGTGGTAAATGGTACCAATTTTTTCATAAATTCTCGCACGATCTAGTGCATCACCATAATAATGCTTTTTAATTAATTGTCGCAAGATAATCAGTTGCCACAACAATTTCACCAGAAAAATATTTGATTTTATGAAAACTGCTTGTAATGTCAAGAAATAATTATAGTTAATATCATCGATGTAACATATCTAAGAAGAATATTTAGCGAAAGTTTGAACGAAATACAAGGTGCGCGGTAGTGCATGTACTAATCAGAATGTGTGATTTGTGTTTAAGGTAAATATCATTGAGAAACGTTTTAAGAGAGAATTCGTGAGAAAACCGACTACATCAGCCGGAGCTAAAACTTTTTTTTCTGTTAGTACTCTAGTTCGAAAGAGCTCATCGAAAAACTAAGAAATCCAAGATATCTCGCCTTCGTATGGCACTGCTCATGAATTAGGAGGTCTTAACTTTTCAATCATCACCAGAAGCTCCATTTGTGGATGAAATCAATGCTTCTTTAATATCTCAGAAACAGCTTGATCCTTACGGCTCATTCACATCTCATATGAAAGAGAAATGTTTGGTCTATCAAATCACTGCAAAAAGGTGCAGTGAAAGGTAACATCCTGGGCGACCACAAGGCAAATACTGGAAAAAGCGCTTTTTCTCAACCATACTTTTTCTAATATTTTCAATCTAGAAATCGCGAGTCCAGCTTGACCAAAAAATAAATTATATTATTTTGTATGGTTGATAATTCTTCATTGATTGATATGTAAAAGAAAAGTTTAAATCACTAGGAGGAGGGTTTTTGGAGAGGTGCAAGTAGGAAGGTGTTGTGCATTTATGGAGACGACTTTCAATAATTCATTATTTCTTCAATTTTTTTCGGTGCTTCGACATGCACCGATGTCAAATTCATAATCTGCGTATGATTCCCCGTATCAAACTGACTCTAGAAATATTATTTAGAGTCGGATTCTATATCATATGGCCAAAGCAAAAATTCATAATCAACTAATTTTGCAACAAATTTTGCAAATCTATTTAGCTTTTCTGTTAGCGGACGAAGCTGTGATTTACACCACATTCGATTTGTCTAAAGTACACAGACCTTTTCTTAAAATTCCTTTTCACTGCTGACAAAATTCATTTTTTCTGAATAAGACGCGAAAAATTTGCAATTGTGCCCGTAATTCTCAATTTTCTTTATCAGAACTCATTTTTTTTTGATCGTGATTTTTTTAGATGTTACCTTTCGCTGCACCTTTTTGCAGTGATTTGGTAGACCAAACATTTCTCTTTCATATGAGATGTGAATGAGCCGTAAGGATCAAGCTGTTTCTGAGATATTAAAGAAGTATTGATTTCATCCACAAATGGAGCTTCTGGTGATGATTGAAAAGTTAAGACCTCCTAATTCATGAGCAGTGCCATACGAAGGCGAGATATCTTGGATTTCTTAGTTTTTCGATGAGCTCTTTCGAACTAGAGTACTAACAGAAAAAAAAGTTTTAGCTCCGGCTGATGTAGTCGGTTTTCTCGCGGATTCTCTCTTAAATATACGAGAGAAGTAGCGCAAGTATCTAATCGCTTTCTGGCTGCTGTTACCGCAGTTTTCGCAGTGATACACAAATCTTACTGCGCCAAAACCCGAAATATGCGATTTGCGTACTGGGTACGTCATTAAAGGTTTTGTATCCTTATGAAAACTTATTCTTGTTGGTCAGGAAAATTTCTACCATGGACGTTCGAATGACTATTAGAAAAGCAGAATGAGTCATTTTGTAAAACTATCTAGTTTTTTGTGTCAAGCGATGGAACCGTCGCATCAATGGCATTGTATCCGCCCTAAGCCCAGCTTTAAAAATATAACTTTCTTTTTTATAAATTTTGTTTTGCTGCTGAGAAAGTTCATTTTTCGTCTAAATCCGAGACGAAAAAGTCGAAATTCTACTCGTAATTCTCAATTTTCTGGATCAAAAATCAACTTTTGAACAATAAAAACATCATATTCGGCATCAGGATAAAACACTGAGTCGAATGATATGCATTCCTATCATCTACAAGTACTTTCATTTTTTTCAAATTTCCATGTTGAAAAATTTTATTATAATAATTTTATAAATTTTATTATTTTATTTAAGTAAATTGTACTGTATACGTGTGTATAAAAGTTGTTAGTTTGTCTATAGTTTTTACTGCTGAGCTTGGTATATTTTACATGTGAATATTAGATACACGTAGCCCCACATAGTCACAAATATACATTTATATTTATATATTTCAAAAGACTGAGAAGAGAACTGTTTCGTATGTTCCACTCGTCATAATATAGATAGAGATTACGGTGGTTGCAACAGGAATTATGGTTGATAGAAAACAATAAGAA